AAATCTAAGAAAAGCAAGGTAGTGATTGCCATTAAGATAAAAATAATAGCTCCCTAAGGAGGGAGGGAGAGGGTAGTGATTGGGAAGGGGAGCTTGAGATGTGGGCAAAATTCTGTTTCTCTACCTGGGTGATAGACATTCAAACATTTGCTTTGTAATAATTTGTTAAGCTGTGCATTTCCTTGATTTATTTTCATAGAGTGTTATGTTATATTCATAATAGTAAAAAACAATTTTAAAAGGAAGAAAAGAGAATACACCTAAATGTTTAGGACCTAAGGGGAGAAACCCTTCAGATAATTTTTCTTCTTACTTTTCTGTAGCTGTCTCATTTTCTGTAACAGGCAATTAGTGATTAAAAAACAGGGTACCTATAGAGTCAGACCTTACCTTAATTCAAATCCTAGCTCTCTTTTATCAGCTCTGTGACCTCAGGCAAGTCCCTTAACTCTGTTTGCTTCTGTTTCCTTCCCTGTGGAACAGGGATAATAACAGCGGCTGCTTTATTGGTTGCTGTGCACACACAGAACAGTGAGGGCCTGGTCCGCAGTAAGCCTCACTAACTGCTAGCTGCTACTGCTATAAATCTAAATCTAAAGTTACCTCGAAGAAACAAAAGTGAAATCCAGGTTTTGGCATATAACGTTCATCACACTTCACTGTTGCTTCTTTTTCTTCTTTGCCTGACAACAGGCATCATGGGGACAGTGTCTGTCCTGACCTACTGTTAGCCCCAGCTCGCAGCATAAGTGAGTTGCTTGTAACGTGCTGCTGTGTGATGGCAGAATGCGGACCCAAGAGTGAGCTTCAGCACCAAGCCCCACCTTCGTCCTTGCCCCCCCAGAGAAGCAAGCTCCCTTAGCTCAAGCATGCTAAGCAGCCCTACAATAGCACTCTCTAGGGTCCTGGCTCCCACTGCCTCTAGACAAAGGTTCTTAGAAAGAGCCCAAGGCATGAATCAACCCTCTGGACTTGTTTCAGAGAAAGATGAGGATGGGGTACAGGGAATAGGGTTGGGAGGCTCCAAGAAAGCCCCATCTGTTACCTAGCAGACCACACATGCCTGGATAGTGCGTGAGGACAAGCTTCATGCCTCAGAGGAGCCCTAGGGAAGCTGGGAGGGCAGTGCCAGGACCGGGGGCGGCTCCTGAGCAGCTCCTGCAGACTCTCACCCCTCGGTGGGCCCAAGGCTCAAGTTGGCTCTTCTGTGGTCGATACATATTAGAAACTCCTCCCCATTCACAAAGTCCTTTCACAAATATAAATCCATTTTCCCCTCCTGACAAACCTGTGAGCTAATCAATTGCCCATTTTATAAGATAGAGGCTGATAAAAACACAAAGAGCTCAGACCCAGTTCATCCAGTCTTGACCTCACTCCCCGCTCCTCCTTCCCCACCATGTCTCCCCAGGTCTGTCTTTCTAAAGGAGCAGACAGGTGCAACACAGACCGGGATATCCTTAGCCCCAGCAAAAGCCCAGAGCAGTCAAGTCAGCCTTTGAGACCCCAGACCCTTCCTTGCTCCTGAAGGGATCAGGAAATGTGTTTGGCCTCTCCCTAGGGGCTGCTAAACAGCATAGGGAGCACTCTTGAGGCCTAGGGGTCAGGCCCAGAGTGGGAATCCAGCACAGAGCTGTCTAATTCCAGGCCCCACAATAGCTCTAACCCACTACAAGGTATTGCCTCCTTTCGAAGGGTCTCAGACAGGAGTGATGTCCAAACCCACATGCGAAGGGGTGGCCTGGGAGAGCACAAACAGCCCTATGAGGGGCTGCAGGGAGTCAAGGATTCCCAGACTATGGCATCTCTGGGATTCCCAGCAGAGGCAGAGGCAGTTTGGCTGTTGTGAGAGAAAAGAGCATAGGATTTCAGAGCAAATATTAAGAGTGTTAGGTGGAGAAAGGCTTCCTAAAGGGCAGGACTTTTAAATTCGGAGCTTCATCAATTGTGGCAGAGGAGTCCGAGACTCCCTAACAGGGAGCTGGAAGAGAGGTGGGCTTGGAGCTTATGGGGTAGAAGCTGCTATTTACCGGCCCAAAATCAGTCTCCCGTGGGTCCTGCTGCCTAGACATCAGGTCATTACGTCCCAGGGCTATTCAGAAATGCCCCACCTCCATTTCCAGAATCTGTCCCAGCAACTTCCCCTCCATCTGTCAAAGTAAAAACACAGGTGAGCAGAATCCAGCTACAGCCTTGCCTCAAACCTCAGGACGGCCTCCTTTTCCCTTCCTTGGGAAGACATCTGGCCCTCAGAACACTTTGAAGCTCTTGAACTTCTGCTGGTAAGGATGGAACTGCTTACTTTGTGTTGCCTGGGCTTCATCCTGGGAAGGATGAACCCAGAAGGAAGGCAAACTGCTGCCCCAGCACCACGGGAGCAGGGTGAGAGGAGGCCAAAGACAAAGTCAGCCCGGGAGAGAACTGCAACGTTTCGGCAGGCATGCTAGCTACACACTCTCCATCCCCTTCACCTTCCTGAGCAGCAGCTGCTCTCATCAGAACCTGGAATTGGGGAGAAGGGGTGAAATCTCACACAATTCATATGGACTTCAGTTTCATATAGGGACACGGATGTTCAGATAAAGCTGACATCCCACATCTTGGTCCCCCCAACGCTGCTGCAGTTCTAGGTCTCAGGTAGTACTATTAGACTGAATGCTAGATAAGCAGATGGAGAGTCTTGATTTGTGTTAGGTTTTCTCATCTAATTTTCCAAATACATCATCAAACGATTTCAAGGGGCCAGCAGCTGCTAGGCAATGCTGAATATAGGGCTAAAAATGAGTAAGAGCTGGTCTCTGTTCTCAAGCTCACATCTCACGGAGCGAACTATAGAGAGGGCCGCCTCCTGCACACATTCTATGAGAGAGTTCACACTCAGCCTCATGAGTTTCCATCTAAAATCAAAGCCCCAGTCAAGATATGCCTGCCTGCACAAATTCTAAATGCCTGTTTCCGCCTGCCTCACAAGTTTCAACACATTCCTTTTCAGATAAAATACAGGACTGGGAGCTAAAGCGCAACCTATTATGCCATTCATACTAACGCTTGCTGCTGAGCTTCTGGTCTATCCAAAAGGCAACACAGGAGAAGGAAAGACAGTACCACACCTAAGCAGGATACAACAATGCTGAAAGACCCGAGTGTGGGTTTTATCTGTGCCATCCAATCCTATTTATGCCTCCTTTGCCCCATGAAGTTCAACAAACCAATTCTAGTACAGAAATGACATCACAGTATTATTTCTGAACCAAAAATTGAAAGCCACCTAAGCATTTCACAAGAAAATGGCTAAATAAATTATGTAACTATTAAATGTTCTTAAAGAATATTAATGATATGGATTAATATCTGGATTATCATTAAGCCATATTAATTTGGATTAATCAAGTCATCCAAATTTGTTAGGTAAGATTTGTTAGGTAAAAAGCAAGAAGCAAAACTATGTGATCAAATTCATGTAATATTGTAACATACATATGCATCTGAATTACATACATATTTACAAGCCAGCAGCTCACGTGCCTCTGTAAGACACTGGGGGCACTTCTCATCAGATGTACGGTCTGACGCTCCAGATCAGAGGCTACCTGACTGCAGCACTGGGACTTGGGCCGCAGAGGCTGCCGTCAGCAGGTGCCCGAGAGCTCTAGGTCCACTGGGACTGATCCTCCAGAATGAGGGGGTGCTCAGCGGGGAGACAAGAAGGCCAGAATGCTAGAGAGCACACACTGATCTAACTGCTGTCCTTTCTTTTCATCCTACTTTGCTACAGTTTTCAATAAACTTCAGTATTTAGCAGTAAGTTAGGCCTAAAGTAGGATTTAGAACTATAAGTGAATTTACAGAGGCAGAATTCTGCTAAAAGTAACAAAAGCAAGCTAGTCAGGTTCACTCCCACCCACACACAATACTACCTCTACATCACCACCCAAACGAGGGACCCACATGCCATCATTAAAATGAAACACACTTATAAAATCATAGATGTATATATCTTTACTATTTATTTTTTAAAATCTTATTCAAAATATTAAATAATACAATTTCAGATATGAAAAAAATCACTGCAGTAAAACAGTTCAGGTGTATTTCTATTGTGCTTCCCTTCCTTATTAGGACAGTAAATCATCCACCCTGGAGAAATGACGGACGGCCCTGCTTCCTCCAGCCTTCCACAGAGCACACGCCCTCTGGCTCATCTGGGCTTTGTGAGTGTGTATGTCAGGGGCTATGTTTTCTAAAAAGTTGTAGGAACCCTTGTAAGTCAACCATGGTTCAAATCATATATTTACATATGGATCAATTAATTATGATAGAAGGACACAAAATGAAATACAGTAAATAATTTCCAGTTGCTATAAAAAAAAAAAGAAGAAAAACGAGTAGAGGAGGTGAAAAAGACAGTGTACTCCTACATCCTTTATGTATACAAACAACTTCATTTGGGTATAATTTTAATTTGAAAGATCTAGATATAATATTAATTAAGTGATAATGGCCTCTAAGATTTATTCAAACGTATTACAAGATAATAAAGTGAACAAATCTGATATAATTTTAAATTCTGCTCCTTGCTTCAAAGGTTAGAGGAACCTGTGCTACAATCAATTGCTAACTAAAAGCAATTTTATATGTATTTGATACTTTACCATAATTTCTACTTCTAAATTTAACTCAGTAATTCAAACCAGAGAATGGCATCTCTATAATATTTTGCCTATGTCCAATGCAAACTGCACTGTCTCTCTATTGTCAGAATTTCTAGACACATTTATGAATGTGTTACCTAAAATTGTGGCCAGATTGAGCAATATCATTATCTTAAGTCATGTTTAACTTAGCCAAAAATATTCAAAGCAATTTTTCTGGAAGAAAAAATGTTATCTATATGCAAAGCATTATCACATACATCCTTGTAGATTACAGTTTGGGAGCACAAAGAAATGTGTGTTTAAAAAATAGTACTTGGGTGGCAGAAAAAGAATCTGAGTCCAAAAATATTCAAAGCAATTTTTCTGGAAGAAAAAATGTTATCTATATGCAAAGCATTATCACATACATCCTTGTAGATTACAGTTTGGGAGCACAAAGAAATGTGTGTTTAAAAAATAGTACTTGGGTGGCAGAAAAAGAATCTGAGTCAGCAGTTTCAGATATGTTAGAATTTTGTTACAAGTTTAGGATTTTTTAAAAGTAGAATTACTAATACTTTCAGAAGAAGTAGAATAAAGAAATCTAAAACAAAAAAACTAACAGGTAATGCTTAGCTCCACATTTTGGACACCCGATTGAATTCACTTCTAAAAGTGTAGGAATAAATTATATACTCCTTGTTTGTGATATTTAATTTCCAAAGCACCAAGGCAAAATAAAGAGAGACCTACCTCTCATTTAAGTACCAGTTGCCTATGGCAAACATCTGCACAATGTCATATAAAAAGTCAAGCAAATAAAATTACATAATAAGCAAACTGAAATCACAGTGCTTTAAAAAATATAATCATTGGTAATCTTCAGAGAAGGCATTGCCTCATTAACATTCTGGTCCAGACGATGGTATTCCACTGTTTTGGAACAAAGACCATCACGCCATTTCCTGCTTTGAACCAGAAGGAAAATCTGTAATAAAACAAAATAATTAGATATGCAAAAGAGAAAATGGAAGATACGTTAAAAAGTTTTGTAACAAGTGAAATATCTACTAGGTTCCCAAATACAACAAGTAAAATAACAATAAGGTTGTTTTATTTTAGATCTTGTAAACAAGGCTAGACAGTGCTTCTATAATTTTAACATACATAGGAGTGCTTGTTAAAGATTGATTCCTGGGCTCTATCTTCAGAGATGAGTTAATAGACTGCAGCAGAGCCCAGGAGCCTACCTGTTTAACAAGGTCCTTAGATGCTGTAATAGAGATGGCCCAACACTAAACACTGGGATAGAATGTCACTAGCATTCAAAATTTTGTCCACCTACAAATTTTTACAATGCTAGCAATAAACTAATAAAACACAAATAACCAAAAGGGTTTGTAGTGCTTGATTTCTAACTCAAAACCACCAACAGTTATATATAAGAATTGCTGATTCTCAAAGCTGGAAGGCATCTTGAAATTATCTGGTCCAGTTTTGTCATTTCTCAGATGAAAAAATAAAGGCCCCAAAAGGGAAGACGGCTTGCCAGAATCACAAAGCAAGTTACAATAAAGTCAAAAACAGACATTTCCTAATCAGAAAGTATTTAAAAAGACATTGTGTGTTTGGCCTCCCTTTAAGCATTTGAAAAGCTGAACTATTCAGCTCTGCCACTACCCAGTGCCGAGATGTACCCTCATAGTGAATTTTCCATCCAGTCCTACATACGCCTCCTTTGCTTCATGTAATCAACAAGTCAATTCCAGTACAGAAATGTTCATCACAATATTATTTTTGAACTAAAAATTGGAAACCATCTAAATATTCAATAGAAAAATGGCTAAATTGTGTATCTGTTAAATTATGTTTTTAAAGAGTGTTAATGATATGGAAAATGCTCATGATTTGTTAGGTAAAAAGCAAGATATAAAACTCTATGAGAGCAAGTCATTCAAAAATATAACATACACACATTATATCTCAATTATATACATAATTGTAGACCAGAAATATACCGACATATTAATAATGCTCAACTTTGGATGACTGATAAATTTTCTTTTCTATACTTTTCTGTGTTTCCTGAATTCCCTAAAATAAGCATGTAATAATTTTACAACCAGAAAAAAAGTTACCAAAATATCATTAAGTTGAATGCTTAATAAATGTAAAGTCTTAAGTTAATAATCTTTCTCTACAAGTATTCCCACTGAAGTAGCAATGCTAATGTAAGATATCCTTTTTTCAAACAAACCACTTGGTGGGGGAGGTGAAGGGATTAAAGGGGCACAATAATTTGCAATCACAATATAAGTTGGTCCTGGGGACAGCAATACAGAGGGAGAATATAGTCAATGGTTCTGCAACATCTTTCTACATTGAAAGACTGAACTGCACTAGAGGGGTTAAGGATTTAATAACATGGGTAACTGTTGAACCACTGTGTTGTACATTTGAAACTAATATAAGATTGTGTATCAATGATACTTCAATTAAAAAATAAATAAACACTGGGCTTTAGTTTTGCTTATTAAAAAATAATCTGACTTTTTGGAATCACATGGAGTAAAGGATTCTGTCTGTATTTTGTTAAAACATGCCAGATTTATAAACTGATTAGACATCTCAATATTTTGCCATCAATTTAAACTTGACTAAAAAGAAAAAAACTGAATCATCAGAAGTATTAATTAGAACTATGAATGAGATAATAAAGGGCAACTTACCTTCCTTTTGTTGTGGTATGTAATGTAAACAACAGCAATACATAGAGCAAAAATAATAAGATGAAAAAAGAAATGGCTATCTTCCTCTTCTATATTTGAAGATGGGGTCTTAAAAGATCCCACTGACTGTTCGATTTCCATGTAGCTCCTGTTATCTTCCAAGGCCTCACTGGACTCCTCATCCCTGGGGCTGGTGGTCCAGTCATACTCTGGTTCTCCGTAATCCCCATTGTCCAGAGCGTCTTTGGCAGCGGACGGAGAACTATTCAGTGTGAGAAGATCGTCCTCCTCAATGCTAGGATCTTCATTGTTTCCGGCCTCCTCTTGGGACAGAGAGGCGGTAAGTGAGGGACGAGGGGCCACAGATGCCCCTCCACTTCTCTCTGTACTGGTTGCGGGAGGGAGAGTGGTGCTGATTTGGGAAATAGAAAGTTTGGTTTGGTTTTCATGTTTTAAAGCATTCATATTTGGAGTAGAAACCTCTGGCTTGAGTACAGTTTGGCTCAGCGAATCAGCCTGTGGTAGAGCTAAAATAAGCAAATAAAGAACATTAAACTGACATCTCCAACTTTATCTCTACCAAGCTAGACACATATTTACCTAAGTTTTTCACCAAGCATTTATTTGCTAAATTCCTGTAACCTTCTCTTGAGAATTGGTTAGTAAGTCTCAATAGCCAGCAATCAGTTACATTTCTTCTTAATTATTCCTCAGATAACAACTGCCTTGCCAGATAACATCTTAAACAGCATAAGAGACCTGCTGCATTATATAGGCGGCCACCAAAAGGAAAAAGAAAAGAAAGAATAGAGAAGGGTCTGACTTTAGGTCACAATGGCAAAGTCCATGCAGAGCTCTTACCCATCCCCTCTGTTTTTACTTCACAGAGAGGCTGGACTTGAGAAATCCTAGCCCAGACTCCCATCTAGCCCCATCCCCAGAACAGAAAGATAGGTAGCTGATTCTAGCTTAAGAAAAGGCCACAAACTAGACCCAGAATTTGAACCTAAATATTTTTGGCACAATATGACAAATTCAACGGTAGCTATAAGCAAACTATAGGCAGCATTTCTAAGTGACACTAGACATGGAAGACTGTCTCTCCCAAATGAAAAAAAAAGAAAAGTATTCTCAGCAAGAAGAGAAAACTTCTAAAGGAAAAGAACTGAAAACCGGACTTGAAAACTAAGTGTGAACTAGACTATTTTAAAGATTGCAGCATGCAGTTGAAGCATGGGAATGACACCAAATCAATACAAGTTCTTCCTCTGCTCCTACCTACTCAACATCTAAATTTACTAAAGGTTAAATTATTTACCTCAGTTAACTCTAAAAGTTCAGAGGATTCCCTGTTGAAATTTAACAGTGTTTCTAACTTATCTAATGTAGTAACTGTTGAAGAACTTCAAGAATATCCATTATACTTTAAAAAAAGAACTGTTACTTGAGATCTAAAAATACTCAGAAAATATTTTTAAGACTACCAAATTAAGGTAAAATACTTTATAGAGGAAAGATTAACCAAATCATTCCGGGGTCTTCATAACCATGTGTACAAATTAACAATCTAATAGACAACCTTTGCTTATGTGAATATACCCTGGTTTGTGTACCACAGTTGGAATCTATTTCATGTAGAAAAAATAAATAGCTAGTCTGAATAGGACTACATAGAATCTCAGAAAAAACAACTTAGTAAATTAGGAAAAACTCTCTTGAACATCTTCAACACTTAGTTCCTTGAAATTTTTCCCTGGAAGAACAGAAATAAACAGGGCTTACAATTGAGTACATTGTTCAGGGACTATTCACAGGAATTTCTTAAAAGAACTTTACGTTTATCACCTCAACTTAGTTATCATTCAGGCATTTACAAATTACTATTTTTCTGATATATCTAACCCTCCTGCCAAAGTGAGGGAAAACATGTTTTGAAGTAAAACTCAAAAAAACTGGGCACCAACTCATCTTTTTTTAAAAATTTGTTTTTCCATGCTTGACTTTAGAATAACTCTGTATAAAGGAAACAAGCTGACAGGAGAATAATTGCAATTTGTCCCCATCTCCCACCCCCTCTCCACATCCAGAAACCCCTCCCCTGTGCACTCAAGAACTCAGTCCATCACCAGCAAACTCACTTTCCTGATGTAACTGAACCCTAGCCCTCCTGAAGCACACACTTTCCCTGTAGCCCTTTTCATTAACAGCTGTTGCTCTCCCACATCCTTGGGTGCCCTGGGGGAGGGGGACTGCTATCCTTGGGAAAGGGGTAGCCCGTTCCAGAAACATTCTCCCATTCCCTTCCCTAAATACTCCAGCCTTGATTCTCTTGTCATCAGCTATCACCCCCTAACCTTTGTCCACCAACTCCCAGTTCACAGTCCCTAATTTTCGATTATTTTAGCTCCTGGCTCTAGAGTTCAACTACTGATTGATTTCAAAATCCTTGACTCTCTTCTGATGGTCCAGCTCTCCCCTTACCTTAACCCCTCACTCCCATGGCCATTCTCTATCATCACCACCCCTCCATAGTCTCAATTTCACGCATCCCTTTTGCTGACATGACCTCCTATCTTTCCAGTTCATTCCCTGGTAATCTGAATCCATCACGACCTACAATTCACTGATCCTACCACCTTCTCAGTCCTTCATGGCCACCACTCCACGCTCTCACAACACACAGTCTTCCCTCTTTCCCACACTCAATTTGTGGTCAGCCATTATCCCTCCCTCACACACACCTTCAAATGCCTTCCCCCTTACTCGCTTTGTCCCACTTACTTGGCGAGGCTGCATCCTGAGTTAAATGAAATTCTCTGACTACTTCCCATCTGCACCGAACAGCCGAAAATGGCTGGAAATAAATACACAGTTACGTCACTGTTTTTATCCATTGTAAATTCACTGCCAAAATTTGGCTGTATACGTAGTGCTGGGGGCAGTCACACTGTGCTTGCCTAGTCCATTCACCCTCCTGCCCCCTCAGGAGACCATTTCACATTTTCTTCTGTCCTCAACCTTCCAACACCTTCTCTGTTGTCTTCATTTTCAACTGATGGCATCGCTTCCTAACTTCTCAGAGAAAAATGAAGCCATCAGAAGAGAACTTCCGTGAATTACCAGAACTCTAGACTCATAAATCCAACTGCCCACTTGACATCTCCTCTTAGATGTCTGCATTCAAACTAACATGTTCAAAATGAATTCTGACTGGCTTTCAGGAAGATGGAATGCATATGCTGTTCCCTATTCTTCCACTACAAACAACTAAAGATCCTGCATGTTAGATATAAAATAACATAAGACTCTGAAAGGTAGAGAGAGTAAGTCAGAGCAGTTAGAGACCTCTGAACCCGAGAAACGACCTGGTGGTGACTTCCCTGTATTTCTTTTTTTACCTCATGTATTTCAGACATGGAGCTGAAGAAGTCAGCAACCTGGAAACACCAAAGAGTACAGACAAAATGGGCCCCCCAAAAAGCCTGCTCTCTCTAGCCAAATGGTCAGGAGAGAGGCAGCTACCAAGAAATGGTTTAGATAACGACAGCTCTACTCCAGGCAAACACCCCAGAAAAAACTGTGGTTCCACTCAAAACCACACCAGCAAAGGCTGAGTGGGGAGCCTAGATGTCCCCCCTTATCAGGCTGGAATGAGGTGCCCCTTCCCCTCCACAACGGGATGGTGTCAGAGGAGGCCAAGTGGAGAGCCAAAACTTTAGCCATCAGCCAGCAGTAACAAGGCAACCTCTACCACCATGACTGTGCAGGCCGAGAGGGCAGCCAGAACTCCCACCCCTGCACAGAAGTAACAAGACGACCACCACCCTTTGGATGTCAACAGAAATCAAGTGGAAACCCTAGAATTCTACCTCTACCTGGCAGTGATGTGCAGCAACCCCCCTTCTCCTGCCAGAGCAATGTCATTAAAAGCCAACTAAAAGAGAAAGTTTAAATAGGACTAGAGTATTAAAAACACAAACTACCACAACTCACACAATATGAAATGCATCATTTGAATAGCTCTTTAACTATTAAGGAAATGGAATTATTTTTAAAACTCCCAAAATATAAATCCCCAGACTCAGATGGTTTCACTAGCAAATTCTACCAATGTTTAAAGAATTAACACCAATTCTACACAATCTCGTCCAGAAAACAGAAGAAGAGGGAACACTTCTCAATTCACTTTGTGAAGCAAGTGCTATTATCCTGATACCAAAACCAAAGACACTACAGAAAAAGAAAACTACAGACTGATATCTGTCATGAACATAGATACAAAAATCCCTAACAAAATATTAGAAATAAAAATCAGCAATATGTAAAAAGAATGATATTCTATGAATAATGAGGTTTATTCCAGGGATGCAAGAGTGGTTCAATATTCAAAAGCCAATCAGCACAATCCATCATATTAACAAGCTAAAAGAAACCCACCTAAGTCTCACACTTTTACAAAAATTAACTTAAAATGCTTCACAAATTTAATGTAAAATGTAAAACTATAAAGCTTTTAGAAAAAGTCATAGGGGGAAATCTTTGGAATTTAGGGCTAGGTAACATATTCCTAGACTTGACAGCAAACACACAATACATAAAAGGGAAAAATCCATAAATTTTTCAAGAATTCCATCAAAATTAAAAACTTTTGTTCCATGAAAAATCTTCTTCTAAGGATGAAAAGACAAGCTACAAAGTGGGAAACATACTTAGAAGCTCCAACCCAACAAAGGACTAGTATCTAGAATACAAAAAGAACTCTGAGAACTCACAAGTGGAAGAGCAAACAGTCCAATTAGAACATGGCAAAAGACAGGAAGAGAGACTTCACCAAAGAGAATATACAGGTGGCAAATGAGTACATGAAATGATATTAGCCATTACAGGAAAACAAATTAAAACCATAATGAGATTTCACTGCACACCCATTAGAACAGCTAAAATAAAAAATATTGACAATATAAAATGTTGGCAAGGATGCAGGGAAACTAGACCACCCATATGTTGCTGGTGGTAATGTAAAATAGAACAACCATGCCAGAAAAGTTTGGCAGTTTCTTAAACAACTAAATAGGCAACTACCATATGACCCAGAAATTGCACTCCTGGGCATTTATCCCAGAGAAATGAAAACTTATGTTCACACAAAAATCTGAACATGAATGTTTATAGCAGCTTTATTCATAATAGCCAAAAACTGGAAAAAACCCAGATGTCCTACAGTAGATGAATGGTATATAAAGTGTAATAGATCCCCACCATGGATATTTAGCAATAAAAAGGAACAAACTATTGACATATGAAACAACTTGGATGGATCTCCAAAGAATTATTAAGTGAAAAGAGCCAATCCCAAAAAGTGACATACCATATGATTCCATTTATATCACATTCTCAAACTGACAAAATTATAGAAATAAAAAACAGATTAGTGGTTGTCAGGATTTCAGGAGGGGGTGGACATACAAGGGAGGTGGGGGATGACTATAAAAAAGGTCACATGAGAAGTCCTTATGGTGACAGAAAT